CCCAGCGCCCCTCAGTTAGCCCAATCTTGTCGCAGCTCCTTTCCTGATCACTGCCACTGTCCAGGAATAGACAACCTATTGTTCTTTGATCCAATAGTCCCTTACCGTTCCTAAACCTTGCCAACCGCCAGCCCCCCTTCTATCCCGCCTAACGACCACCACCCTTTTGGGAAACAACCTTGGTTGAGTGTATAACTGCCACTGTCCAGGAATAGACAACCTATTGTTCTTCGATCCAGCAGTCCCTTACCGTTCCTAAACCTTGCTCTGCCAACCGCCAGCCCCCCTTCTTATCCCGCCTAACTGACCACCACCCTTTGGGGAAACAACCTTGGTTGAGTGTATCTAGTTTCTTGCAATTTCTACTTCCATTTGTGTGATTATATTTCCCAATTTTGAATTTAACAACCATATTTGATTTGCTTATCATGGTTTGGATTAACTCTGATATCATTGGTATCATAGCTATCCTAAATCTAGTCATATCCTAGGGTTACCTAAACCCTCTACACTACTAACACAATTTTCTTTCCCACCCGACATCACACACCCATACATCCTATCCCACTCACCCACCCACACCCACACCCTAATTATGTCATCGAGTAAACAAGTGTCAGATTCCAATCACGACATTACTATGGAAGAGATGCGGCGGGAACTCCGCTGAGTGCTATAACAACTCAATGAAGAGGAAGATCGGCCATGGTGCTTCGAGATTCAATAATAGATGCAGATGAGAAAGAAGGTGTCTTAGGAGTGAAAGTGGATATAACGGATGTAGGCACCGAAAATCTTCTTCTTTCCTTCTTTGATTGCTGCCCTATCAAATTTCAATTAATTACTTTTCCCCTTTTCATGCTCACCCCTAACACCTTCCCGATTTGCTCAAACCATCGCTTAAGCGCTTTATAAGAGCAAGCTAAGGGCATCACCTCCTCCTGTTAATGCTCCTGCCTCTCTCTCGAGTTCGCCCAAAACCACCAGCCTTGTCAACGAAGTCGTGCAATACAATCATGATTAGTGCTACCCAAGAAGGCAACGGAGGACCGTATGCAAGCAACAACCACCGAAACTTCTTCCTCCTTCCATTCACTCCTACCCAAAAGCAACGAGGAAGGTAACCCTCATCTTTCTCCATTCTTCCAACCATCCTTAGCGCACTTCAACTTCTCTAAATCTTGCAAAATCATTTTCAAATCGGACCTGCTAAATCTTGGTTCTAAGGCAAACTTGAGGAGAAACGGAATTTAAGAACATATAGGATTTGAAGACTGTCGCTTTTACAGTTTATTAGGTTAAATTTCAAGCATGTAAATTCCTTAAAAAATTATTTCGGAAATTAAAATTTCCCACCTCTATCAAAATAAAACAAAAAAAAAATATTTTAATTATGTTAGTTAAAGTTAAAATTAATTTCAAAATTAATTAAGTTCATAAGTTCTTACTTTTAAAAATATTATAATAATAATTTAATGATAATAATAATAATAATAATAATAATAATAAATGTTGATTAGGTTATACTTAATTTAGTGAAAAATAAGTTTCATTGCATAATTATTTATATTTTATTTTTTTAAATGGTGTAGGATCCCTAGTCCAACCGTTGAATTCATAAAGACATCGCATTTGCAAATCTCTAGGTACGTAACTGTTTTTTAATTAAAAAATAAACGCACTCTTCCTAGTTAGGGACGTTAATTCTTGTTATTTGAAAGGTCTAAAGCCCTCCATCACCAACATGGTTCAGCTACAACCTTACCGGTTGTTGGTTGATGTTTAGACCTTGAAACTGAAGATGAAGAGACAACAAAAGCAGAGCAGGAACCCACCGCCATTCAAACAGCTACCCACAGCTGGAGACAATAATAGAAGCACTCCTAAGGGAGTTGAAAAAAGTGGCTAGGAGATTGACAAAGCAGCCCAAAGCAAGAAGAAAAATTTAAGAAAAGTAGCAAACCCAACACAATTCCAACTAGGAAATGCTTCAGATGTCAAGGATATGAACACAACGCCCTTAATTGTCTGACGAGTAGAGTTCTCTCATTCACTGAGTAAAGTGCAATGGAGGTCTGTGAGGAGACAACTAAAGAACAATGTTAGTACCAACTTCTATCAGATAAGGGCAAGATACTTGTGGTTCAACGAGACCTTCAGACTGTCTGCAGCTTATTAAAAATCAGTTGTGAAGCTGCTGAAGAATAAATTGATGTTCAAAAAACTGCGGTGGTTATTACATCTTTTTTTAAAAAAATCAGAACGCAAATACAAAACTGTCACCGCACCTAGCCAGGACCGGCGGAAAAATGCAGATTTCTGCGGCAGCTTTTTGAAAAAGCTTTCAAAATGTAGTTTGCCCAAACAGACAAAACAGCAGTGCAATGCCGCACTGCCACCGTACCGCCACCCCCAACGAACCCTGAGTCTACGAGAGAGCAGCAATGATTTCGCCACAACATAATCAACACTCAGTGAAATCTGAAGGGAAATGTAATCAACCTCATCATCGATAGAGGTAGCGTTAAGAATGTGGCGTCGGCATAGATGATGAATAGGTTGTGTCTCAAGACTCGTAGGCAATTCCCAGCCGTATTCCCTGCATGGTTAAAGAAAGAGAACAGGGTCATCATTGAGAGGAGAAGCCTCATTGAGTTTTTTATTGATAATCAGCTGCATGATCAAGTGTGGTGCGACGTGGTGGCCATGGATGCATGTTACATCTTGTTGGAGAGACCGTGACAGTTCGACCACAGAAGACAGCATAATGAATTTAAGAGCTCCTAATCATTCACAAAGGAAGGGAAGTGGTGCTCTTGCAAGCAGAGAGGTGCCAGTGGGATCAGTCTTGGTAATGATAGAGGTTAGCAAGACTAAAAAGGCGATATCAGACAAAGAGCAGCCGCTACAGAAAGAGTTCTAGGGTACTTGAAAGTGGGGGAACCTTCTCAAGTGCTTTGGAGGGTAGTACAACCGACAGCGAGATTTGGGTGCTCATATCGACGCAATAGAAGACCCTCCAACCCCGAGGGGCAAAAACAGCTTTTGTACCTTCAACATGTCTGATTCAACACAAGATTATGAGATAGAAGCTTCGACCGATGAGGTTCAGGCTCCCCAACCCCGGGAAACTGATGCGGGCATGAGAGGGGGGAGGGGGTTCCTCTCTCGTGTTCTAGACGTTTGGACCAACCCACCCAGGCATGGGAGGGCCGACCGACTCCTTCACATAGGTTTGGCGCCTCCTTTCAATAGAGGGGATCAATCTGAATTATCTATGGCTTATATATTTTCTCTGATGTTTTAGGTTTTCAATTTTTCATATGTTGTCTTTCAGAACAACCATCAGTATCTTACATTTTCCTTTCCAGGATTGTATCTAAAGGCTAGTGGTACTCCGGCTATATCTCGTTTAAAGGTGGTGACTATACTTGACTTCCCTTTCCGAAGCATCCTTCCCTCCACCGTTGAAGTCACCATCGTCTTATTGCAACAGCCTGAAAACAACCCTCGACTGCTTTTCTGTAGTTCCACTGCTGTTTTTTTTGTTTTAGATTTTCAATTTTTTAGATTTTTTTTTTTTCAGGAACAGCCATCGGTGTCTCAATTTTTTCCTTTTAGGGTTGTATAAAAGGGCGAGTTGTGCTCTGGTTGTATCTCGTTTCAAGGTGATGACTATACTCGACTTCCCCTTCCGTTGCATCCTTCCTTCCGCCACTAGCTCCGCTGTCGTACTTATTGCAGCGGTCCAAAAACAACCCTCCTTGGATGTTTTTCTGCAGTTCCACTCTACTGCCACCTTCCAGTTCATTGTCCACCTGCCGCTACTTCCAAATCCCTTGTTCCCACTTACTATTGTCTCTCCTAATCCAACAAACATCCTTCATCCACCACTGTTGACCACCCTAAATGACCCCAAGCAGCCGTGTGTTGCCACAACCCCTTTCCCCATCACTGTTGCTGCCCAGGAATGGCCAATTTGTTGTTCTCTCATCCTTAAGCCCCTTACTGTCCCTACCCATGCCCTGCCAACCACAAGCCGCCCTACCATCTCTCCCATCTCGCCTAATTGACCACCATCCTTTTGGGATACAATCTTAGTTGCATCTGTGGCGATTCTATTGTTATTTTTATTTTCATTCGTGTGATTATATTTCCCCATTTTAAATTTCAGCAATCAGATTTGTTTTTCTTATCGCGATTTGAGTTAACTCAGGTATTATTATTTTAAGATAAGTGTAATAAAAATGAATTGATTACCTATGTAACATACTCATCTCAAAGTAAATCCAGTGACTTTGAGAATTCATTATGAGCAAAATTTTTTCAGAATATCCCGAAACATTTTTTCAAGCATTAATTTTCATTGCTACTCATTTGAGCAGATTTCCACCAATTTAAGATGCAGAAAAAAAAAGGGGGCATTTGCATATCTACCAACCAATTCCTATGTATTTACATATCTAACAACTAAAATTTACTTTTTACATTTATTCCACCCAAATCATTTATATCTCATAAAAATAAGACGATTTGAACTTTGAAAAAGTGAAATAAGCCTTTTATGCATAAGTAAGGTGGCGTATTGTAAAAATTGGATTTTAGGTGCCAGATATGTAATAATTAAGAATTAAATGGTATATACGTAACCCTTCCAAAAAAAAAAAAAAAGAAGGAATGCATAACGATTAAATTCCAAAGAGAACTTACCGCTGTGGACACATGAGTTTTGTCACCTGCAGGGCCTTCCCTGGCAAGACCAAAATCAGACAGTTTAGGGTTAAAATCACCATCTAACAAGACATTTGATGTTTTAAAGTCCCTGTAAATAACCTGTCCAGAAAAAGAATTGAGTAAATAACTGAACCTAAAAACCAGGTAATTTTAATGAAATAGCGAACCAAATAACTCCAACATCAAGGAACTAAACCCAGGCTGACAATAAAATACCACCATTTACATGTATTTACATATTTGACACCTAAAATTTACTTTTCCCATTTATACCGCTCAAATATTTCATATCACATTAAAAAAAAATCTTTTTTTAACTTCTAAAAAGTGAAATACGCAACTTTATGCATAGCTAAGGTGGCATGTTTGTAAAAATTTAAGTTCATGTGTAAGATATGTGAATGCATATGAATTGTGTGGTATGTATGTAAATCTTCCTGGGAATTAATCATATAAAGTGCATGCTATACTGAGTTAAACTTGGGATCCTCTGGCCTGTAAGCAAAATAACATGTAATTAACCTTAGGATACATATGAGACGAGTTTTTGATTTAGCCACTACTACTATAAAGTGCATGCTATACTGAGTTAAACTTGGGATCCTCTGGCCTGTAAGCAAAATAACATGTAATTAACCTTAGGATACATATGAGACGAGTTTTTAGATTTAGCCACTACTACTTCAGAAGTTCTGTATTTACAGGCCTCGTAATACAAGAACGTATAAGGGAAATAGAAAAAAAAAAAGAAAACCAATATTGACAAAAGAAAAAAGCCCATGTATTTCCAAAAATATACACAACCACTCATGCAATGAGTCTGAGCATACTTTTATACACAAATCTGATAGCTAAGAGCTTATTGGAGATCATTTTTTAAAAATAAAAAAAAAACATGCCTATTTAATATTTTTTACCAGTTTTATTTTTTATTAAAAAAAAAACAAATTAACATATTTTAAGAACATTCGATATAATTTTAGGATGTTCTTATTATTTAAAAAAAAATCGTATATATTTAATACATCAACATTGTTTTATTTCAAATCAAAACATAAACAAAATACAACAACAAGCCTTTATCACAGTGGGGTGGGCTACATGAATTTTGTTCTCATTTGTGCCCTATTGAGTGACATAATTTAATTTAATTCTAATAGATTAAGATCATTTCTTAAACAATATGCCCAAGTCTTTTAAGGTCTAGCTCTGCCTTTCTTAATATAAGTTGAATCTAAAACATCTACTCTCCCAATCGGATCATCAGATGGTAAACATTTATGGTCTATTTGGGGCAGTTGTAGCTTATTAAATAATCTGCTGATAAGCTAGGTGTGGTGGCTATTACAAATTTTTATTTTTTTTGGAAAAGCCAGACCACAGCCAGAAAGCTCCCACCAAACCTAGATAGGTGATCCCACCGCAGCTAGATAGGTGCCGTGTGAAAACGTTGTTTTCAGCGTTTTGAAAACGCATAAGCTGCCAAAAGGCAATTTACCCAAACAGTCAAGATGTGTTTTCAAAACGCCACCGCACCAAATAAGCTGCCCCAAACGCACCCTTAATGTGATGAACCGTCTAAGATGACTCTCTTTAATCTTATCTACAACTGAAGTTACATCAATCTTTTCACAGATAGATTCATTTCGCATTTTATCTCTAATTGTCAAACCACTCATCCACCTATGCATTCTCATCTCAACAATGTAAAATAAAATTTAAAAAATAAAAAATAAAAAATAAAAGTAATCTCCAACAACAACTAAGTTAACATTATCACAAGGGTGACGACTAAATTTTAAATTTCTTATAAGAGCTATATGCATATATTTAAAAAATGAAGGGAAATGGAGAAAAAAAGATCTCAAAGATGTAGCAGAATAATCCACATCAGATGATTTGTTAGCAATTAAGTAGTAAATTTTATTTTTTACAAAAAATTAAACAAATATAGCAATTTCTCTATCCAAATTCTTTTGTTAATTTAAATGTGTCCAATCATCAAAATATTTAAAAAAGTGCTTTAGAGAATAAGCTTACACAATTATATAAGTCCCCAAATCATAGTTAGAATACATCATTTAATTTTTCACTAAACAACAATTAGATGTCCTTTTGAATTAAACCACTCCAATACGAATAACAAATCTCAAATATCATATTTAAATTTTATAACTTAATACAAAGGATATTTGTAACTTGTAAGCTTATTATTAATATCTATGAAACATTGATTACTAGAGTTAGTCAAATTGAACTCCCCTTTTTAAGACAGTTGGTAATGGATGCCATAGCAATACTAAATCTTAATATAAATCATCATGGATGCCATAACAATACTAAATCTTAATATAAATCATCATGGATGCCATAACAATACTAAATCTTAATATAAATCATCATGGATGCCATAACAATACTAAATCTTAATATAAATCATCCAAAAAAAATAACCGAGCCATAAAAGCTTTGATTCATATGAATATTTGTACGCTTTAACCAACCATAAACAGCAAACAACCCCATATTTCACATATGTAATTAAACATCTCATATTCAAATATAATTAAAAAAAAAAAAACAGTTTGTTCCAAGATGCATAAAAAGAGTAGAATAGGATAAGTCTCAAATAAAATAAGAATGAAATACCACAAGTTGCCATATCCTTGTGGCAACATTCCAATATTCCACATAATACAACAATAAGATTAACCACATGCTACAAATGCAATTTCAAATTGTATGTTATATTTGTCTTGCTGCACATAAGTTGCATTTCTGATGACCATAATCTTTGAGATTTGCATCAATACAACTAAACCCCATTCAAAGAATAAAGAGGACTGCCATAAATGTATGATAATCAACATTTATCAGACAAAAATAAGGAAAAAAAATGCTATATTTTTGTGAACGATCATCTACACATGCAATCCACAATTTGACTTGGCCAAATGTGATGACAACAAAAACAAGTATAACTTGACAAAAAATTGACTAAAAATATCTCAAATTCATTGCACATGTGACCAGATGGAGACCTCTGATTCATTCAAAACATTCACATGTGCACATGTGAGACGAGATGAATTAAATATTTGTCAAGAGAGTACGCATGCCCGTATTACCACCCAAAAAATAAAATAAAATAAAACAAAAAATGAAAAATAAAAATAATATATATAGATTATTTAAAAAAATAAAGGGATAATTACATACACAACACTCATAACATTGATATTTACAAAACTAACATCCAGGTGATTTTTTGAACTAGCAAACCAATGCATTAATGTGTGCCACGATTAGACCATTGAAAAAAAAGGAAAAATATGGGCGGGGGGTTTTATCGTGAATTTTGATATTTGATTGAGAATTTGAAAAATAGATGAAAGAGGGTACTAAATTTATAAATAGCAAAGTTTCAAGTGCTACGTATGTAATGGCCCCATAAAGAAATATGATAGAAGCCACCCCATCATTTAGGGAAAAATAAAGATAACATAGCACTACATGTGCTTGGGACAAACATTATTCAAATGACTTTTAAGAAGATCAATATAATGGGGAGTAATTCTTAAATAAATAAAAATTCCTATAAAAATTTCACAAGTACTCACTCTATGCATTTTCTCTCTACTCTCTCAATTGTTATCCCTTACCTCTTATCCGTAGTGCTCAACCTCTTCTCACCTAAGCCTCTCATCCGCCTATCATCTTTCTTTCCTTCCTCTCCCTCTCCTCTCCTTCTCCCTCTCTTCCTCTTTCTAAATATTTCGTTCCTCCTCATGAGCATGTCACGACCCCACACTAAGTATACAGAGTTGACTTGTCAATTTGCATAATCCCCATATAAGTCTTTATAAATACATTTCACAATTTATTTTTGATATTGTATGTTTTCTTTGGCCGATAACTTGCCATAATATCTATAACACATTTCTTGGCATGGTGAGCGTGCAAACTAGCTGTGTCGGTATATCTTTCTTAACATATTGGAGACACTAAATAGTGGAGGCATTAAATTTGGTCATGGTTTCTCAAATACCATCTATACATATATTTCGAAGCATGGTGGCATGGCTTACCAGGTTTTCAGTACCTCTTCATCGGTGTGAATGGAAATGCTACTTAAATCCACCTAAAAAGTAAAACAAAAAATATTTTGGGACAAAAAATTCATAACAGAATGAAAGAAGGAGAAAGTTGTAAAATAAGAACAATAAACACCTAAATGTGTACTACAAGACATAAAACAACCATAAATGAATAAAAAAACTAACTCATGTGAAATCAAGTAGCTCGCCAATGGATGCCACCTAGAACACCATGGACTCAAATGGAATACTAAAATAACATGCAAGGTACCCTTATTCATAGGAATTAATTCCTCCTACACGGAACCCACCTAGGCATCAACATGAACATGTGAACCAAATGACAACATTTCAGACACGTAAGAAATTTTTAGTCCCAACATTTAGTCCCAATGCACTAGGCAAATGAATGGAAAGCAACCCTTCTTGAGTAAAAAAATTGGATGAACGACTAAAATACAACAAAATGCAAATGAATATAAA